CATTTGCATAACATTCATCTGCACTCTCTGACAATGCATTTGCAGTCATCTGCATTTATCATAGAAGTCTGTTAGTGTATTGGTACATGCATAGCCAACCATTTAATTAGAAGGATTAATTAGTATAGTAATTCCTCATCAAATTTCAACAATGAGACAATTTATATAATCAACTATTATTCAAAAAATAAATAATAATAATAAAATAAATTAATATTCAACCAAAAAAAAATAACTTATTTTCAAGTATGATAAGTAGCATTTAGACTATACTCCTGCAATATATAATTAATGTTAGAAAATTAAAGATATGTATCCAGACGGTAACTTCCTCACAGAGAGGTGCAAACACAATATGGCACTTACGCAGACAGACCAACCGCTTTCTTATGTTAAGGAATATGCTACATATGTGAGTAAACATCCACAACTAGCAAGGCAAAGAATTCAATTTGAGAGATTACAAGTGGAAGAGCTTACTGCAATTATGGGAATCCGCTCTGTTGGAAGCACAGAACCCTCACCATTTTGTAATAAATTTGAAGAAGACAAAAGCTGCTCAATTCCAGCTTTTGCTGCAGCATCCCAGTTGCCAGCTTCTTCAAAGGAACGAATCAGTCTTGTCGATTGAAGGCCATCCATTACTGGCATGCAGACATCCTGCACATATGATCACCAAAATGTTAGAATTATAACACATTCCACTCAAGTCAACAAATGTTTCAGGGTTTCAACGTATGAAAGATATAAGATGTGTATTTCACTTTCCCTAAATACGGAGCTGGCCTTTCTCTGTGTTAAGGCTTATCTTATAAACAAGAAATGGATGGCTGGAATAGCAGGTAGCAATCATTAGGAAGCCTCCTCCGGAAAAGTAGCAAGGTAAATTATAAGAAGAGTAACCTATACTTTACCATCAGAATTAGATCATAATTACTGCTCTGAACTGTCCGGACAGCTTCAACTCCGTTGTTCACAACATCTATTGTATCGCCCAACTGCTTCATCATTGATTGTGTTACCATTACATTAACCTTGTTATCTTCTACAAGAAGGATCTTGGGCTTTGAAATTGAATCTGGTACAACTAGACTGCCATTTGATGTGGACCGAATAACTGTACTGTCAGGGTTCCCCTGCTTTTGGGTTAATATCTAGGATTCAATGTTTGAAGTTACACCAAACTCTTTGCTTGCTTCTGGGTGACCTGACATATTTGTGATAGGGTTCTTGAAATGCAGCATTTGAATCATCTTGACAATGGTTTTCTCTACAAATTACATTTTCATCATCAGGATCGGGGCTGTGACTGGACAAACTTCCAGGCTCTGAAAATGTCTCTGCAGCTTCAACAACAGAACAGTCATCCTCAAGACAAGTCACCTCCTTTTGTCTAACATTGTTTGATGGAAATGAATAAGAATCCTCTAAGAAGCCATTAAGTTCAGGAGGATTTGCATAGCCAATATTATGTAGCATTAATTTTTGTATTCTGGTTGAACCATTAGAAGAGAACACTGAACCCAAGGTGCGTGGATGGGAATTGAAAAAAGCCAGCAGTTGCATCATCAATTGCGGCATCATGATCAGCCACATCTGACAGCTCATCCGGGTCATCAGAATTATCACCAGGCAGTGAATCTAGAACCACAATGCACTCGACTAGACACGGTGAGACGACCACCCATCAGCTCAACTTATTACAAATGCAAGCAATTATTAGGCTGATTGTCTAAAAATTTTTGTCTAAGTCAAATCACATCAATGTAAAAGTAACAAATTAAACTCTGCCCAATCGAGGGATTGATATGCAACACTGATTTTATGAATTTATTTCTCTGCAACTTAACATAAATATAAACAGTCTCTAAGTTTGAAAAATATCACAACATAAAATGATTGCTCAGGAGCAACTTGTAATTGCACCAAATCAGAGATCCTTCTTACTTCATTTCGGATGAACTTACAAAGCCTTGATGTGGGTCTTCGGGTAGACACTCCAATACTTAAATCAGCAATAATCAGAGCTACTTTTAAAGCGGAAATAAAAAGAGCTTAGAGTTGGTTTCAATTACTTTTTTGAGGTGACCCTTGGAGGTATTTATAGGCTTCAGTGAGGTGTCCACATGACTTACTTAATAAGATAATCGGAGTGTGACGTGTCCCTTAAGATGGTAAACTCAAAATCGAGAAATTAAGAGAAATTCTAGTGTGAGTATACTCACTATAACTGTCATACAGCTGTTTGATTAGGAAGTACTTCACTTCAATTATTAAAAAATTATAGCAGTACGTCGGAGTTCCTTAACCGTGGACCTATCCTTACACAACTATAACAACAAAGACGAAAATCAGAAAATCCATATCAAATGAAACATAAATTTTATGTCAAGGAAGATCTCACCAGATGTTTGCGTATTACGAGGCCCAGTCCTGTCCCCCCATATTTTCGGGCATGATCCGCACTAACTTGCATGTATGTTTTAAATAGCGTAGGTAAAGCATTTTCTGTTACAGGAATCCCAATCAACTTCACGAAAAGTTTCAAGTTTGAGATTGATTGAGGCATTGAGGCAAATAACTTTTAGAGAAAATAGAAGTATACCACAGTGTCATAAACATCACAGCGAATCCACACGGTTGTTTCAGGTAGCTGTGTTTGCTCCTCATCACTATCTAGCGTTCCAATCTTAACCGGGGATCTAGGTTCTGTTGAGCTAGCCCTTCCAAGTTGGGTGGCTCAACAATGGAGGTGCACCTTGAGTGCATGGCGCATGGCAGAAACTTGGAAGGTTTGGTTTTGAAGATGAACAGTAGATCCCGACACGGACATTTCCAATTCTTGAAGAATATGGGAAAAGCAAAGTGGACTCCTCCAACTTTGGATGTGTTGACATGTTAGTCCTTGATAGGATAGCTTTACTATTCTTGTATCCAAAAGCTCTCTATTTTAACTCTTGTTTGAAATTTAAAAGAGTGCAGATTGGTGAGAGCGTGAAAAACAGAGAGGGAAAGCAGTGCAGAAAAAAGACAGAGTGAGGTTGAGAGAAAATCTCCTTTGTTGGTGTTAGAACTTTGAAAGATTCGGATTATGATCCGAAAATTGTAATCCATTTTTAGTAGTAGATTGATTTTCATCTGGGTAGGTGTCCCGTGGTTTTTCCCATTTGGATTTTCCACGTAAAATTCTGGTGTCCTCTTTATTTTACTTTGTTGCTTATTCTGTTCTTGAGTGTTTGATTGTGTTGTTGATTGGTTTGATTCTGGGCATTAGACCATTTAAACCTCAACAGGTTCATCAAGTTGATGACGATGGCAAGAGCCACCGTGTTTTTTACCGTGAACACCATTCTGATCACCATTTGTTTGAGATTTTGATACATATTTCTCTTCTTTATGCACATCAGTCGTTTGATTGATCTGCAGTGGAGCTATGCTGAGATGCTTCCGTCGCAAAAGGCGGCTCTGGAACTACATAAAGTTTTATCCCTACCTTTCCTTCATGGGTAAACTTGATTGCGTTGCTGAAGAGTATAAAAAAATTATTTTCATGGGTAAACTTGATTGGTTAACCTACCTGATTAGACTTGAAGTTGATACTAAAGCTTGATAATTTGATACTGAGCTCTTGATATTGAGCCTGCATGTAAAGGTACTCAACATTATATTGACCCTCTACCACCCATTATGAATTAATTTTAAATTAAATGCAAATCTTATGTGAAAACCCATGCTCAATTTTCACCCTGACATGCTTATCCCCAACGTAAATCCAAACATAAATTAAGGACTGCTAATCCTTGACAAACCAACGTCTTGTCAGTAGAGTCTGTATTCTAATTAAGACATAACAAAACGGTAGGATGAATCAGAGCAGTCTCTGGCAATGGCAAACCACCAGTCGGAACACTATCGTCACCACCGTCATCTTCTTTCTCCTCGTCTTCGTTGTTCTATCAGCCTTCATGGGTTGGTTTGACGTTGTGAGTATATTTGTCTATACCAAATTATACCTTTCTTTTTGTTTTCTTAGAAATTAAGCTTATAATCTGTCTGATTTTCTTATTCCAATTCCTGTTTCTATTTTACATTCTATATTCTACTCAGGTTTTTCGGTTCAACAACAAACCCTCTCGAATCCCCTGACTTGCGAAAGTCAAACAAAAATTACATGTCTAATATCAAAGTACCCCACCACCACACACAACGTTACCGATCCTGACAATTTATCCCGTATCATATGTGTCCATCATACTTCCCCTGGATCCACGAGGATCTAAGGCCGTGGAGGGAGACTGGAGTCACCAAAGACATGGTGGAACCGGTAACGGCACGTAAGTCAGCAAATTTCAGGCTGGTGATTGTGAGCGGGAAGGCCTAATTACAAAAGTACATGGGGTGTTATGAGACTAGGGATGTGTTTTCTTTGTGGGGAATCCTACAGCTCCAGAGATGGTACCCTCGAAGATTGCCCAACTGGGACATGATGTTTGAATGTGGTGATCTTCCAACGATCCCTTCCCGAAACAGTCAGGGTCCAAAAGCTTGCCCCCCACCCTTGTTCCGCTACTGCTACGATGAAGGGAGCTTGGTTATTGGAGCAAATTGGAGCAAGAGCTGATACCAAAACACCGATTTTGATGAGATTTAGAATCCTACTATGATGAATTCAATTGCCTAGAACACCAACCTAAGATATAGAAATAAACTGAGAGAAATCCACTCTCAAAAACTCACTCAACAAAGGAGAATTACAAATTAAACTTAATTAAAACTTCATGCATACAACAGGGGGAACATGGCTATTTATAGGCAAAATCCAACCAAGATAATAAATGAAAAGCAAAATGCAATTGGGAGTTAGCCATTTTTGTAGACTTAAATGGCCATTTTTGCTGACTTATGTGGCCATTTGACAAAATTGCACCGGCCTACTGTGCTGTAGAGTAGCGTCTATATGCTTGCTGCATTTTACTAGTGCATTCTCCCCTGGTTGGAGAAAACTCGTCCTTGAGTTTGAGATCATTGCTCATGATCCTCATAGTAAAGAGATAGGTCGATGACATTGAAAGTAGTAAAGACTCCATAGTCACCTAGAAGTTTGATCTCGTAGTTATTAGCATTGATCTTCTCCATTATCTGAAAAGGACCATCTGCTCTAGGGGAGAGTTTGGCTTTAGGTTGGTTAGGAAACCTTTCCTTTCGAAGGTGTATTCAAGCACAATCTCCTTCCTTCTACACAACCTTCTTTCAGTGCTTGTCATGATGAGCCTTATACCTAATGGTTTGACATTGTAGCTTTTCACAAACTTCTTCATGAAGCTTCTTGATTTCCTTGGCTCGTTGCTCTGCATCTACGCTAAATTGTTAGGATGTGGGCAATGGAGCAAAATCTAAAGGGTTGAGAGGACGCACTCCATATACTACTTCGAATGGGCATTTTCTTGTAGCTTGATTTGAAGAGTTATTGTAAGCAAACTCAGCTTGGGTAAGCACACGATCTCATTGTCGCAATTCTTTCCCACAAAGCTTCGTAATAGATTCCCCAAAATCTTGTTGATAGCTTTAGTTTGACCATCAATTTGGGTATAGCTAGCAGAACTAAATTAGAGTTGAATGCCCGTCTTTCTCCACAAAGTTCTCTAAAAATGACTCATGAACTTCACATCTCCGTCTGAAGTGATAATCTTTGGAATTCCATGTGTCATAACTCAAATTTTAGTAGAGTTTTATTTTATTTTTATTTTTTAACTAATATGTTTTGTCTTTATTTTCCTTGTTAGGTTCATGAGCAAAATGGGGGATTTTTGTGAAGAAAATTGGAAAAGGAAGATGAAAGAAATTAAAACAAGGGACTCAATTGAAGAAATCAAAAGTTAGGGGATGAAATCCTTTAAGCTATAAATCTAGTCCATTAAAACCCAAAGCCCACCAACTTACTCAAACCCAAACCAAAACCCAAACTCAAACTCAATTACCCAAAAACGCAAAAACCCAAAGCTTACCAACTACTTAAGCCCAAAATCCCAAAACCAAAACCAAAAAAATTGCCCAAAACCCATTTAACCCAAACCCAAAAACCATAAAAAAAAAAAAAGGAAAAGGAAAAAGGAGGGCATCTGGAACCTTCTCCTTCCCTATCAATCTTTTCTCTCTCCCGAACCGGCTTACTCCCCAAACCAGCTGGCAGCCACACACCCAACCATCACCGGCAATCATACCTCCCTACGCCCCCTCATGCGCCCGGCCTTGCTCTGTACTTTCCCCTTTGCGCGCTTGATCCTGCAATCATACCCCTGCACGCCCAAGCCATCACCCCTCGCACGCCCGGCCTTGCTCTGCCCTACCACCTACCATGCCTGCGCCCCTACTGCTGCACCACGCTCCTGCCCTTGCCGCCTGCGCCCCTGCTGCTGCACCACGTTCCTGCCCTTGCCACCTACGCCCCTGCTGCTGCACCGAGCCCATAGCCATGCCCCTACCTCACCTATAGAAAAAACAGCACATACCAGACAAAATTGGCATCATTAGTGATTGACGGAGCAAGGCTTTTTCATTTTTATTTTATTTTGTTGTTTGGGTATATATATATAGAGCAAAAAGCAGAGTACAGAGGTTTTTTGGGGGTTATTTTTGGGTTTGGCTT